AGAGCTAAGGAGATGACTGTGGATTTCAGGAGGAACCCCCCAACCCACCATACTCAACAGCCCTATGTCTGATGTGGAGACCTTCAAGTTTCTGCAATGCACAATCTTCCGGGACTTGAAGGTGGCCTCAAACATTGAGACTGTCAGGCAGAAGGCCCAGCAGAGGAAGTTCAACCTCCCTCAGGAGCTGCTGGTCCTGTTCTACTCCGCTATGATCCATTCTGTGATTTGTTCTTCCATTACTGTGTGGTTTGGATCGACCGCTAAACAGGACCGGAACAGACTTCAACAGATCATCAGGTGTGCAGAGAGAATAGTTGGCTACAGCCTGCCCTCCATCCTGGACTTGCACTACTCCAGATTCAGGACACGGGCAGGAAAGATCACTGCAGACCCCCCACACCCTGTCCAAACGTTTGACTGGTACTGTGTATATATTTACATCTATGTTGTATAGTTGTTGCTATACTTTCAACTGTTTTACTTTTTGTGTTGTCCTTGTTTTTTATCGTTTTATATTGTGTTGTTTGTACAAAGAAACTGCATCTATGGTATTTGGACAACAACTGCAAAACCAGAATCTAATTCCATGTACGCATAAACATACATGGCCGAAGCTTCTGATTCGGATTCCGAGTGGCCTGGTTAATAATTGTGTTGGAAGAGAAAAGGGGAATTTTGTGAGGAATATCTTATCTTTGTCTCATCCTCTGGGAAACATAAAGTTGAAGTGTTTTTGTAGTGTGAGATAGTAAGGGCGGTCTCCATAAACACTGGCGGTGTAGATCGCTCTTTCATTATGTATTTTATCTAGAATCAATGTCAGTGTTGTTTGTTAGAGAATTGTTTCCCTCACCTTTCCTCTGAGGTACTCACCTGTGAGGCTGACAAGAAAGTAGTGCATCTGGTTGGTATATTCCTCCCTGATGCTCCTCTCCATGTCGGTGCTTAGGGCAACTGCAGGGGCGTGCAGACAGGTCATTTCACTAAGCAGTCTCTGGATGGGGTTGCCCTTCACCGTGCCAAACTGCACGGCCACATCGAACGTCTCCTCTGTGATGATGGCTCCGGGTATGCGGCTGAAATAGGTCAGCTGCTCCACAAGCTGCACCCATTACAGAATTGTTTAGGTGTTGTTTTTATTAAGGAGAGAGGAAAAATACGCGGAGGGGGTTAAATGTTACAACAAAATAAACAGTGTCTCTCAACCTTTCCCTTGTCAAGGAAACCCTAAGTATTTGTCACAGACCCCATTTGATTGAGATCTACTACTGCAGCGATTCCCAAAGTGTGGGCCGCGAAGGTACTGCAGGTGGGCCGCGAGAGGTCATTTACAATAAATAAATAAAGTTTTTTAATTTTTAAAAGTTTGAAATTAATATAAAATTATTTATGATGCGGCACATTAGTTATTTAAAACATTAGAGGATGAAGCACAAACAATTTAAACGGACAGATTAATAAAACAATAAGGCTCTCGCTCGAAACGGCTGCTCTTGTCCGCCTGTCGTTGTTCAACAAACGAGGCGCCCCCTTGTAGTATTAAAGTCAATATACCGCATTTTCCGCACTCCAAGGCGCACTTAAAAGCCTTTAATTTCCTCAAAAAACGACAGTGCCGTATAATCCGGAGCGCCTTATATATATGGATCAATTCGGTTGATCCATACTGGTTGTACACGGCGCTCAAGGCGCTCTGCCAAACAGGCCAAAACTCGTCTACGACGGCGAGATGCTGAGCGGCGCTTTCAGGGCGCGTCGGAGAAACAAAGCTGTCGTTCTCGCCGAGCACTTCATGAGATTAAAGAGCGATTTTGGTTAAATTTGTAAGGTCATTTAATCATTATGTTTTGATCAGAGTTGTGATTAAAGGTTTGGGTGGGATGTTTTCTGACAGTTTAACTTCTGTTCAGCCATCTGATTTAACAGTTTAAAGGTGGGTTTTACCGATGAGGGCCTGCAGTACTCCACCCGCAGCCTGTTGAGAGTGTCCACGTAGACCACCATGCTTGTGATGGAGGTGTCATTAATAAATTGATCCAAAGCCCGCTCGTTTTCATCCGTCAACAGCTCTGTGGTCACACCATTGACCGACATCACACGGAGAAACAACTTCCATCCGGAGAGATGAGAGGCGGTCCAGGTAGATGAGGGGGAGGGAAAGACAGGGCGCTTATTTAGTGGGCGGATGGCTGCGCACAACCCAAAGAGCTAGAAGACCCCCCCTCCTCCCCCAACGCCTCCACCCAAAAAATGACACAAGCTTTACCTCATGAACTCTCCTTGAATATTCCTCGTCCATTTCTTTCAAATCTCTCAGCGCGAGTGTAATCTTAAACACCCCATCATCTGAAATAATTACACAAGAAACACTGACGTGCACACACGGAGACATTCATTCATAATATACAACGTAAAGGTCGCCATTGTTCTGTTCTTTGCTGTTAAAACGACTTAACGTTATAACGTTAAGCATAATAATGTAACGTTAGCTTAAACTTGACTTCACATTTTTTTATTTACCAAATAATGATATATAGTCAACCTTTGTGTAGAGATTTGGTAACTTTAACGTAAGACGAAACATAAAGTGGCCCTCGGGTGTTTGCACAGTAACTTTAAACCACATTAGCTTATTAGCTTAGCCAGCAAACTTTAGCAACAGCAACGTTACCGCAGGTTAGCAGCCGTTCAGTCCTCTCGAGCTGAAAAATGTGGCAACACATCGACAACCTGTTACCGTTACCTCTTTACTATGACCGACGGGTCCACTAAAACGACTTTAATCTAATATAACGTCATTTTCTACGTTACATTTTCTGCGAGGCAATGTTACTTACCATTGATTCACTCGAACCTGTGGTTTTAGTGTGCGCGTCTCCATGGAAACGTTTGGTTGCCTTGGTAACCCTGAAGAGTTTCGTCCTGTGTAGACGCGAGACTCTGCTCGTGTTTAGGGAAGGAAATCATAGGCCACACAATGTCTTTTAAAATTAACTTTAAATGAACATCTAGAAAGGCAAATTTTGTCCCAACAACTCTGAGCCACGCAGCTGTAGGCAGTCCCATTTCTCTGCTACTATTAATGGAAATAGTGCTTTATTTGCCACTGTTGAATTTCTGTCAGCTAAAAAGTCTAAAGGAGTTTACAATAAAAATATTTGATTAAGTTTTAGCTCCACTTCGGATCGGGAAAAGACATTACAACCTTTGCAAAGAAGAGTTGCCTAAATTCATCCGAATTCACCCATTTTGAAGAAGTAGCGCAGTATCGTGAACCTATTCAGTCTAAATAAAGGATGGCCAATGTCGAAGTTCATCTTCGTCAGCATCTTGGTTTTTATTTCGCTTTTTATTCTAGCAAACAGCAATCATTTACGATATGGTTTCTGCCCACATCATGGACAAGAAAAGAAAATCATTTAAATGGCTTTCACCTGAATAATTATTCGGGAAATGCACATATGCGCACTATGACCACTGGGTGGCACGAAACACTGATGCAATGTCAAAATCCGGTTTTAAAACCTTGACCATTATTTATTTATTTATTAATTTATTTTGCAGGGACAATGCACACTAATCAACAGTTGTATTGTAATTGATCCAGAGTTAGCCCCAGAGGTTAATTTCCACCTGCTGTCCCGGGCCAGATGTTTTTAAGGCAGCCTAAAAAAAAAATGTAATCTCAAAAGTAAATGTAATTGAAATTCATGGACGAACGGACGCAACGTATACACAAAACCAACACAGAGCAAAATAAAAGTGTACGACAACAGAGTATAGAGCAGCCATACCAGGCTGCAGCATGTGTCAGGCTGAACAAACACACCTACAGTGGAAGCACACATACAGTACACCACTGAAGCACATAACATACACGGAGAGAGAAAAAATAGAAAAATACTGAGCAAGACAAATGCACATAAAGGTGAGGCAGGACAGACGCAAATCAATGCTTGCAAACCTCATTGGCAACGAGCCAATCCTTAAGGTTGTATTTGAAACTTTTGTATGTGTTTTGTGTTGTGTGTTTTGTATGTTGCGGCACAGCATTCCACGAGTGAGCTGCCTTCACAGAGAATGTAAATTTGTTAAACGAGCTGGACCTGTGTGAAATAACATGATCACCTCTGGAAGCAGATCTAGTAAGTCTGCTGCTTTGTTAAATAAAATCACTATTACAAGCACTATTCACACATTAGGACCCACAGTTTAGATATTTACATATTGCATGGCCTTGCCCACATTTGTATTTAATAATGTTTTTCAGACAGACTCAGCATATCTGTGGTATCATGTTTGCCTCCTGAGAGAAAATTCGGTCCTAAACACTGAAAACACTTCAATGTCATGGTGCGTTGGAAAGCTTTATTTTCCACCTGCACTACGTGTGCACCTGCACAAAGCCAGTCAGAATAATTATTCTCTATTTTTCAAAATGAAAGTACTTATTATCAGCAAAAAAAGTATCTACCAACCGTAGTAAAACAAAGGTTGACAGGTACTCGACAGGGGAAGAAGAAGTACTTTGAGCCTTTAGTTGTCAAATTAACAAAATGCCAGTAAAGAAATACTTCAAGTAAAAGTCCATCATTCAGGATTTCACTCAAGTTAAAGTGCTCTTCAAACAAAATGTCCCATTACATAATAATCTATGTTGTATAGTAAGATTATTGATGCATTCATGTCTGCTTATATAATGTAGGTTGTAAAAAAGATGGCGATAGAGCGGTGAAACTTCCTATTTATAAATGTATTAGAGGAGTTATATTTTTTAATCTAAATGTCAAAAGTGTAGCGGAGGAAATAGAACAACATTAGTAGTCGAGAAAGCAGTTCAGTAAATGTTACATTTCACCACTGCTGTTAACAAATGTATTATAAAGGAAGTTTATCAGTTGTTTTTAGAACAGGGAAAAAAACATTTATGTATATTTTAAATTAGTTATCAATTATAATGCACAATTATATCTGTTTGAAGAATTATCCACACGCCCTCCATTTTCTTTGTAGGAATATTTATTTGTACATTTACAGTGACTGCATAAATGACATTTGAATAATAGGCCTCTGTGATAATGCAGACGGTAAATGTTAGAGAGGCCGCCAGTGAGCCACGACATGGGAGAAGTTTACCGAAGAGGAAAATAATATTGCAAAATGATCTAATGCAGCATATTTCTCACAGAAAAATGAATTTGCTAAACTATAAGAAGCTTCTCCAGTTTCACTGAATCTGCAAAACACTGTCGTCTTTCAGAAGACATGATGGTGCTGCTGTTCTCATACTAGAAGTTATTGCAATTTGCAGTTGAGCTTAGCGTGACTGAGAATGTGCTTTAACAGAAGTTGTGACGTTATTTATCAGTAGCTGTGGCTTCCACGCTGCAGGAGTCCTGTTGCGCCTGTATTGAGTTTGCAGACGGTGGTTTCTGCAGACTTCTCTCCCGGGGTCAGTCTCGAAACATTTGCCTCCTTTGTGAACGATTAACCAGCAGAAACTTGTCAGTAGAAGTCAGATTGTGGCTGTTTGTTTTGTCCAAAGAAAAGGGTTTGTGAGTTGGCGAAATTGGGGGGGTTAGTTGCAGTTTTATGAGGTTTGGTTTTGATGGATGGCTCTTAAGGACCAGCCTCTGGCCTTGGCGGTTGTCACGTCGGGAGGCAACGTCCCGACACTTAACAAGTGTAACCAGTCTCTCCCCTTTCTGTAATCCTTCAACGTTTCCCTTTTTAAACTCGCGTCTTCTCCACTCCTCCACTGATTTTGTCCTCCTTTCTTAACAACATCTTATAAAGGATTTATTTATGGTATAAAACAAATATCTGTACACATTAACATTTCTTCACAGCTCGCAGCGATCGTCCTCGGCCTTGTAGCGGTCCATGATGCTCAGGACGTCCTCCATGATGGATGGGCCCAGATCCAGGTCCAACCCGGCCATAGAGTCCGACCGCGAGACCCCAGACGACACTGTGAGAGCGGCCGGGTGGAAGGGGGAGCAGGGCGACTCGCTGCGGTCGCTCCTTAGGTCCTCGTTGCTCAGGCCGGCGTCCGAGTCCAGGCTGAGGCCACGGCGCACGTCCAGGGGCCCGCAGGTTTCCGACATGGAGTCCTCAGAGGAGACCTCCGAGAAGGAGCCGGAGGAGGGGACGAGCCTGCGGACGGCGGGGGGGAGGGAGATGTCGCGGCAGGGCTCTGACGCTAGGCGGCCCACCACGCCGTTCTCGAAGAGCTGGCTGTGGTGGTCCCTGTGGCCGTTGGCTTGCTTGCGGCTCGTGTCCGCCGCCGGCTGGTGGTGGAAGTGGTTCTGCTGGGAGGCCAGAGAGGGCGGGGAGGGGTCCTCCAGGTGGAGGCGCGGGGGTTTGGGCGGAGCCTGCTCGTGGGCGATGAACACGGGCATGGAGATGGTGGTCTTCAGCAGGCCGGCGGAGGAGTGCTGGTAGTGGTAACCGTTGTAGGCGTAGCTGTGCGACTCCTGTCTCGCCGCCAGGCCGTCGTCCAGCCGCCTCTCCACGCTGTGCGAGCGTCCGTCCTGCATCCGACTCAGAGTCGGCAGCATGTTCATCTTGCCCTGCAGGAAGCCCACGTCGCCGAACATGTCGCCCTCGCCTTCGGGCCCCACGTGCGCGCTGTGGCGCACGTCGCCCAGCGGCGGGCTGATCATGTCGCCCGAGAGGACGTCGCGAAGCCTCAGCCTCTTCCCCTTCCTGGGCGTTGTCGTTTTTAAGTACATTGGTGTCTTTGCCGGCATTTTTTCTACTGACAGATCTTGCAGAGGGGAGACGAGAGGTACGTGTCCTCGCAGAACGTTTCTTAAGAAACAAAGTTGAATGAAGACAAACTCGTTAAGCAACACTCCCCTGATAAGAGGCTCTTTTCAACTCCCACCCGACACGATACGTAAGCTCCTCCAAGTAAGAATACAAATATTTAGCTCATTCAACGTAACAATAGCAACCCCCGGCGGTCGTGATTCACCCTGTCTAGTGACTCCTTCGGGGGGGATTGCGAGGTGGGGGGGCTTGAGGGTGGTGGGGGGAAGGGAAGGGGGGTGGAGCTGGACCTTGACCTCAGAACAGCTCCGTGTGTCTTTCTCTCATAAACAGAAAATCCATATTCAAGCACAGAGAGGCTCCTCTTCCCCCTTCAGAACGCAAACACGCTCTTGTCTTTGACCCTCCTCAGATAGGAGGGATGAAGGACGGGATGAAGGACGGGATAAAGGACGGGATCTCCGGCGGGCCTCGCTGTCTGCCTTTGGGTGGGGTTCGTCAGAAACTCCGGGTACGGGACATCAGAACGCTGGAGGTCTGTGCGGAGAAACGAGAGAGAGAGAGAAATAGGCGTCAGGAAGGAGGAAACTGGTGAGATGGATGGGGCAAAAGGGGGGGGAAGGGAGGAGGCAGGAGCGAGGAGATTTACAACCCTTCTTTTCAGCAAGGACATGTTAAGGAAAACACTCCTGGGTGTTTTCGGGAGAAGGGGTCTGACTGCCCTGTGGGACTAACAGCGAGTCAGTCCACAAATCAGAGAAGAAAATTGGTCATGCGCCCCCACCCGCTCTGTTGGTAGAAACACAAGTCACTGTATGTTAAATGGTCCTGTTTCTAAACGCAGCCTGTTATAGGTGGAAAATCGTAAAAGTCTTTCCACTGGCAAACACTGAGAATTTGGGGAGTGAACCCTCACAGTTCACCTCTGTGACTGCGATCCCATCATCTGAAATAAGAGTGCTCTGCTTTATGTTCAGGGTTCAGAGGTCGTGACCCTGAATTCAAAGAATGCAAAGCATGCCTTTATGAAAAGATTGCTAGACTTCTCTGGATGGTTTAGCCAAAGGAAGCATCTTGTCTTGAAAAAATGTTTAGAGTAAACTTCAGAAATGATGTATTTGAATTGTCTACAGAGCAGCGGTTTCACTCTTAAATGACTTTCTGATCTTACAGCTGTAATTATGTCTGAATGCTACTTGGATCACAGTGTTCTCCATGAATGCTTGACCATTGTTTGAAAAGGAGAACCAGCGTGTAATGGTGATGTCTATCTTGTGGGAGCCTGACTCAGTGTTTGCTGGAGAGGTGAACGGAGCAAACTATGACATCTATTTGTCTGCTTCATCCAAAAGAAAATAAGTCACTTCTTACTAACTGAACCGGTTCGATTACAACTATTTTTTAGCCAGAAACAGGAAGTATTCTCGTGTTCACGCTGACATCATTGCATTGGCATCGCAAAAGGTTCACATTCAGGCTACTGTGAACTTCACACAACCTGTGCAGTAAAAGTAGCAGTACCAGTGTAGAAATACTCTGTCAGCTCTGCAATTGAACTCTTACTTATAGTCAAGAAATAAAGTATTTTCATCAAAATGTCTAGATACCTTCTTTAATAACTTTGTTTCAGCAATATTTAATCTATTGAATTCAGATATTTGACCTATCCATTCATTGACCTATCCATTCAAGGTTTCAGTAAAGAAATGATGTGGATACTTAACAGAAATAAGTGACATATTAAATTGTACCTTAAAGAACATCACACACTGTGCATTATAAATATGCTAGAGAATCGGGGGTCAGAATAGTCCTTTTAATAATTTAAAGAGGAGAGGCAGGGCAGTAAAATGGCAGTGGCGTGTTCAATAACATCTTTTATGATCCAGGTCGCCCTCCATGAGTGAGTTCTTCATCCTATGCCCCTTTTAATGAGAACATCTTTCATCCCACTCCGATGTCCTGTCACTCATCTCCGTCTCTCTCTCCTTCACCACAATCAAAGACATCCATCAACCAAAAATGAGAAAGGCCGTCTTTCCACGTGATTGTACAAACATCTGAAGCACATCTGCTTTTGTTCTGTTTTCAGATTTTAAAATGACTCAAGATTATTGTCTTTGTTTTAAGTTGTTTCAAATTAAAAGTCTTTGGACTGTGAATTCTGGGAGGTTTTGTTAACAAAAGTATTCATTGACGAGTTGAAGAAAAAAAATAACCAGGAGAATAAACAACAATGAAAAATTCTGTTAGTTGCGGCCTTAACACAAACCGATGAGTTTGTGTTAAGGAAGTTTTAATGAGTACCTTTTCTCAAAAACCTGAAAAAGTGATTTTGCATTTAACTTGCATTTATTCTGATTTCTTCAGTATTGTTTACATTTTTATAGTGTTTCATGGGTGAGGTTGCAGACAGTGAATGTTGTAGAGTTTGTATTATGACTAAATGTAAACGCAGCACACTGAATCTGCTATTAAGAAATAATGTGTCTGGTGCCACATTAGTAGAAAGAAGCTAACCGTGTGCTAGCAGCTGTGATCTAATAATACATTACTCTCCACCGCATATTCATCTTTTGGATACTTTTAGTTTACTTATCTTTATTTTCATTTCTAGAAAAAGTATGTTAATGTAAATGTTATTAACCCTGAACGATGCTTAAACTCAGAACATGTGATGTCATCAAGTATAGAGTGGAAGGGCTCCATAATGAAATAAAGATGCTACAGATAAGGGCAGCTAAGGGAATGTTTTGAGTATATGGAAACATTTGTTTCACAATTTCAGAACACCACAATAGAATAAAAGCCCCAAATCACTCCTGCATTCATTGTCCATGGAGCTGCTCCACACTTTTATAGCTGGTGACAGTTTCAGACTCACAGTACGTCTCTGGTTTCTGTGAGTGTATAGCTCACGTTCATTAATATTGATCGCCCGTTTCAAGTCCAGTACAAACAAAAATTGGAATCTCAAGTTAGCAGGTGTTTCCTTTAGGACACAAGTCTAAATCATATCCAAAGATCTTTCTTTAGCTACACCAACACATGTTCAGTGCTACAAGCACATTAAATATTCCACCGTACGTTCTTTTCACATTGTCTAGTTTGTTTAAAGTATGTATTCAAACACACACACACACACTTCATGAGCAGACATAACCGGCGTCAACGAGGCGTGAGTTTGTTTGTCTTACAATTCAGACATTAGGTTTCCCAGCTCTAATCTGTCTGTCAATCACCGACAGACATGTGCGGTAGCAGCCAGTGAGGACAGTCACATGATGACTCATTTAAGAGTAATAACTCAAAATGCAGGGCTTGCCCGTCTCGACCTGGGACTTGGGTTCAATGACTGGAGATGTACTGGTGTCTCGCTAAACAATAACTTGCTCCCCCATCTGAAAAATCACTCAGATTTACTTCCTTGGGCCTCCCCCTCTTTTTTTTTGGGACACTGCTGATGATGCAATCAGCCACGGAGGAGGCTGACCTGACATCTGTTTCTGCTCTCGGTCTCCATTTGGTGCCTGCATTGTGTCCACTACAGCGGGACACGAGACTACGTGAGCCACCAGTGAGCCTTGGGATCTTTTAGGAGAAAACACCACGCCGCTCCCTCAACTGTTGGTGTCCTCCGCAGTCTGTTGCGTCATACTTAATTGCGCACAGCAGGAGATTGTTGACAAAAAAAAGCCCTTTTGCTCGTTTGATAATTTCTTTGTTTTTACCAGAAAATGTAAAGCTGATTTTTTGGAGTCAATGTCGCTGTTTCCATAGTGAGATTTTACTGTTTTTTTGGGGCCGGGGCACATATGAGATCCTTTTAGTCCCTGGCACTGAAAGTTCGGGATACCTATTGTTTTTGCAGGAGAAAGGATAAATATCCCGACGGCTTTGAAACATTACTTATATAATAACATAATGTAGGAAGGTTTGTCAGGTTACTTACAAATTGTGTTGGTATAACCCTCCAACAGATGTCCTCTATTGACTAGCAGGAGACTGGTTGTAAAAATCAGTCCAATTGTATAGAAGGAAATAGCCCTACTTTTAAATAATTTATTACCTCAGGCAACGGCTGTAATTCTAGATGGCGACAGGGATTTCGCCGAACTTGAGGTTTCAAAACAACGTTCCACAAACCAACAGGTGCCGTCTCCATGACTACATTCCCTTGTTATGTACTCTTTCTCCACCTCTCTCTCTCTCTCTCTCTCTCTCTCTCTCTCTCAGCATATTAACCAGTAACCAGATTTTTTTCTTTATCAACAGTATAACCTTCCGAAGTGCCAGGGTTATACTCCCCTCTCTCCCTCCCTGTCTCCCTCCCTCGGTTGCGTAACTGCGGCCTCTGAGGCCCCCCTCCTGAAGACTCTCCCACTGTGTTGACTGATTGGTGCAAGTGAAACAAATATTTCTTTCGAGCCTAATCCAGTCACAGATATGAGACCACAGCTAATCCTGCGAATATAAATGACGGCCTCTGATTGGCCGGGAGGAGACCCTCGCGGTGACCCCTCGCGAGCCTCTTGGTTCATCATATTGCACCGCTGTCACCGGTTAGCGGCACCGTGTCACGTCAAACGAAATGCTGAATGAAAAGTAACGTTAGCTTCTGTGAGGTTGCTGAGCTGACGGCTTACAGGCGTTAATTATAATACCGTTACTTCCATGTCGCTCAGCCACGTGACCTCTCGTGTTTGGCAGCGGAGTTATTTCCAGAGCGCCGCCGTGCTTTGAGAAACTGGACAGACTGGCACGGTTTAACAATTGTGTAACATTCCCCTCATTACTGATTTCCTTTTGGGCGAATGTCCCCACAGGAACAACCCTATCCTGCTTCTGTAACACATCACCTTAGAAATGAGGAAACCGCAACATGGATGCGTGTCCTCTAAATCATGTACGTATTATTAATACAGACCAATATTACAAATCACACATTTACGTCACAATCGGTCTTTGAAAGCCTTACTTGAATTACGGAACAACTTAACAACTAATGATAAGACACTTTAGTTGGAGAAAAATAGACATTTAAGAAAACTCATTGACAGCAAAGAAGGAGGAACCGTGTTCCTGGACGGACACAAATCAGCGGAATGCAACAAATATGATGGAACCTTGTATTGTTGAAACGCATGTTTAGCGTTAGGTTTCTCTCCCCCCAAAACGTCGCAAAGCGAAGGGAGTGTCACGCGCCCCGAGGCTGTTAAGTCAACAAATAAATATCTACAATAGTCAGTTTTTCCTCTTTTTGTTATCCACATAATAGGAGACCGAAGGTCCATTCTCTAGCTGGGTGGTGAGCGACCGGCCGACCGCTGACCAGTTTAAACTCCCAGAAACCCTCAAAAGATCCATCAAAGGGCGCTGGTATTTACCTCCGGCGCGGGAATTCCTTGGATCCACTGACACGGAGCTTCGGCCGGTGTCGAGCCCACTGCCTCCGGAGCGCTCTGGACGGAGAAAGTTAAATACACACAAAAAAGGGATCCGCTTCACACAAAAGGAGCGCAGTTAATTAGCTCAAACAACATCCGGTTAGTGATTTCAAATTAAGATATGCATCAGTGAAAATGTCCTGTGAAGAAAGTATTGTACAATACAAGTATTGTATTGTCTCATCTAATGTATTTATTTTATTGAATAAAGGGTGAGGGGGGGGTAGCGGTACTAATTCTTAATTGGACTGATTACGTCATAAAACCAGTGGACGTGTTCATTTTCCAATATAAACCAGACGTGGTCAAAAGTCTTATTCTGAAGGTAAGAAATTCTCAGCTTCCGGTGTCATTGTGGGTGACAATTAGCGATTTCGCCTAACAGCTCCGGATGAACAACTAGTTTATACCATTAAACGCGTCTTTAAACCACTCTATGTTACGTAACCCATCAGTGTGGTAAGGAGGGATACGCTACTGTTATTGATGACGTCTCTGATCAACATGTATGGAAGCCACAAAAGGTCAAAGGTGAGAGGGTGAGAAATAACTTTAGGTTGCAGCCTGTCTCAGTTGATGTATAATTACAGCTGTGCATTATACATTACAGATTAAACCTGTTTATATTTATTTATTTCATTTTATGTCAATGAAACAGAAAAATTATGGTTTTGTTTATTTTTCAAAGTTCATTTTTAAAGTTGCAATGTGCCCATTGCTGGAGCTGCGGTTTTACTTTTTTTTTTCTGCATTGCAAGTGAATTTGATAAATCATGTTTTTCTAAAAACGTGTGCACCTCTCGCTGAGACAGATGGGGTGGAGGTGATGAAGACTCGGTACATCGGTACAAACCAAAGTCTGACAGGCTCGATCTTGTGGTCCCAACAGGGTTGGCACTGCAGCTTCATTATAGCGAGGTAATGAGGATTTAACAAATGGAGAATGCAGACGTTAGCAGGTCGGACTGCAGACACATTTTGTTTACAGCTCACCGCTCCACCGAGCAAATGAATGCCATTCCCTTGTTACTTTTCTGCTGGTGTTTGCGCTGGGTCTGCAAGGAAAGACGTAATCAGCACCACATCATAAAAGCACAACATGGGAGACAACATGAGACTTTATGGCACAACTTTCCCTTCTTCCAAATCAAAATCAAAATCCTCATGATCTCAACACTGCAGCAATACGTGTATAGTTTAAGAATAAGTTCATCAGGGTCTTCAGAGATCACTTTTATGTATGTTGTGCTGCAGAAGTAAAATTGACTAATTTCCTCAAATACTGTAGTAAAATTGAATGTACTTGTAATCTACTTGAGTCTTTTTATTTTATTATGCTTTAGCCTTCTGCTCCACTACATCAGAATCAGAAGCTGTTTATTGCCACGGATGTTACACATACAGCAATTTATCATGTTGGATGGTGCAATCAAAGGAGACAAATACAAAACAAACAATAAAAGTTAACATAAAATATTTAAAATAAAAAAGCGAAAATGAGCAATATAAACAGATGAGTGCACCTATATATTGAGACACTTATCAGAGACAAACACAAACAAACCGGCTGTTTTTCCTTCCAACAAATACATTATTCTTTCCTGAACATTTTGCTGAGACAAATTTATACTTGAGTCACGTTTCTTCAGCGGCCTTGGACGTGACAAACATAAATAGAACGGCACCTCTCGTGTTTATATCCCGTAGGAATGTGTACACCAGATATACGAGTCCCTGAAAGACGTGATTATGTCACACAAAAGGGGTCCCATGTGTAGACACACACACCGATATGAATCTCCCTGCAGGTCATGATATAATCAGTGCAGCATGGGGGCGGGGGGGTCCACATGGATCCATGGTACCGGATGAGCTCTTGCTCTCCAGGCCCCTGTGGCAGAGCTCCAGCTCCCCGGGTGCCCCCCCCCCCCCCCCCCCTCCTAAGACCCCACGGAGAGATTGGCATGAGTCCAGTTCGGAGAGACAACGTGGAGGGGGGCGGGTGGTTGGGGGAGGTTTTGTGTCTGCGTAACCCCCCCAAAAAAGTTGTGTAACAACATGGAAGGAGATGGAAGGTAGTGGTCTGGTTTCGTTTTCGTCCTCTCTCGTACATTTTTACTCAACCAGGTGCAACACGAGAAACGCTCGATTTCACAACAAAAAGATTTAGGCTCAACTCCCGCTGATGAATCACTTCCATTGCAGAAAGTTCACAAACTCGCACACAAGTAAAGTGTGGCTTTACAATAATTTCAGAAGTCTTGTGTCGGTATTGTTATATTTGTAATATTCCAGATAATTAGGGCATCATTTTTATATTTTTCCGTGTTTCCATTTACATGGATCTCAGTACTATACGAAAACTATGAAAAAGAATACACAAATAAATTGAAACAGTGTTAGTAGGGTAACGTCAACTCAAATAATATCTTTAGCCATTCACAATTATTTGAAAAGGTTTTGTATTTTGGGGAGTAACATGGGGATTATCGTTTAAAAAAGAAAAAAGATTCTTTCTGGGTCACATCATTCATCAGTGTCTTTTTTCTTTTCTTTGTCTGAATGAATGTCCTAAGTGAAGCCCTAATCATCTTAAATAATGCCTCAATAGTCCTAATTCACATAGCCATGACATCCAGCCAGCGGTGGTTCCTGGCAAGCATGGCCTTTGTATTTCCATTTCCGAGCAATGAAAGTCGGGAGTGATGCACAACTGAGACACCATCAGTGACCTCATAGCTAGGAATTCTGGGAATCTGTGAGTAAAGGAGCCTTCATGTGTTTCCATTTAGAATGCTGTGATTGAAGCAAACTGCAGGGCCTCAGCAGTAATAGGCTGAAGGAAGAAAGGAGGTAAGGAGGAAAAGAAAATGCAGGATCAGAGGCGAAAAAATCAAGAGAAGTTAAGAGGAAGAAGATAAACAGTTCAGACTTGATCCATTTTGATAGGTTTTTTTTTCAAAATGTTTACTGCTTGTATTTAGCCACTGAGATAAACAAATAATAACAACCTGAGCGAGAGACAGAGAGAGAGAGAGAGAAGGCAAAAAGAGAAAAGAGGCCCTCTGACCAGAGAGAGGACCTCAGAGGGGAAGTGGTTTCCAGCTGTTTTCCTGCATCTGTTCAACACTGTTACTTGACTCATTCAGAGTCATACAAGCACCAGTCCACTCCTCGCTTACAGTAATCCCTCCTTCTAACAGCTGGGGTAAACTTTGTTTTAGACATTATTTCTGAAGATGAGCTAGTTCTATTTCCAGCATTTAGTTGTTAAAGAGACAGATATTTCAACCCGGACTTTTGATAACTGTAGTATTATATCCGCATGCAAGTCCTTATTTCAATGAGAACTGAGTTAGCAACTGTCAACTGTGGGAAAACAACTTTTATTATTTTCTATTTCCTGTAAATGATTTTGAGGCACTCTGACATTCTTATGAACGCTGCTCTCCTAACGCTGTAAGAATATAAATTAAACTTTGGTGAATCAATTCAGCACAATACATTTTATCCCTCCAGAAAACCTTTCCATTTGTTCCCCCTTACAGAAGTACACTTTGCAATCCCTTGATGTTTAAAATCAGCTGACTTCTCTTTTCTCAACTCTTTTTACGGTTTTCTATTTAGACCAAGCTAACACGGTTTCTATGGGCTGAGACTGTAAACGCAGTGTGTAGCTCATAGTTTTTTTTCCTACATTGTTTTCCCGGAGAGAGAGAGAGAGAGAGAGAGAGAGAGAGAGTGATGGAGAGAGAGCCGGCGGTGGAAATAAAAACAATGAATGATGTAAGGAGGCCGAGGGCAAAATAACACAGTACGCCGTAAATGTGTCATTCCAGCCTCAAAATACGGAGCTATTAACATAAACACTTTGCAGAGCAAAACACACACGTATATACAAGCACCAGAGCATTACTTCTCCCACTGCAGAGCTAAGGATATAACAAAAGTTAAAGCATGCACACACAGTTTTATAGATATACACCCACACACACTTAGAGATTCACAAAATATCAACATGTTAAATACATTTTCCTTCACTCATCACCCTCCCAACTCTCCCGCAACTCCAGCCTCCTCCCATTCCCACAACCCTCCCCCCTTCTGGCCTCCCTGTGGGTCCGTCTCTCTCTCTCTGCTCTGTCTTTCCTCGCCTCCGCCCTCCTTATCCCTGTCGCGGCTCAGGGGTCATCCGGAGGGTCAGAGTCCCTGCCCGCATGGAACAAACACACCAAAATAGAAAAGGCATGAAAGAGAGGAAAGGATGTGGCCGGATAATCACACTGTTTTTAAATACTTATAGCGGGGACGGTTTGGTGAGTTTGGAGCACTTTGTGGATATAATATTCACAAGTATGGTTTCATTAGTCTCTAAATCTGCTGACATGACAAATTGTTGTGTTTTCATTAGTTTAGAACGAGCCCTTCTTATAACCACAGGTCCTCTTCACACAGCCATGTTGCACCACAGTGTTTCTACGGGAACCTAGAATGGACAAATCAAACACCGGTTGGATTCCTTCATATTTATGTCACCTGACCAAGATATAATTCTTCGACGTGTTTGGAAATTGATTTGATTTAACCGTTGATCTCTTACCTTCGGTAAAATAAGAGTCACTATTCTACTAAACAAGGTGTAGCTGTCGATTACTTTTTGCGTCACATGTAACACACGGGAAGAAAAGGGGGTGTGATGCTAAAGCCAATGGTGAAACCTCATGAACAAACTTTTCTCTTGTTTCCAGTTTATTGTACCAAAGTAGTCAATAGCTGGCGGAAGCTTCAGATTGACCAACCATGCAGGGTTAAGGTACTTTCATGTAAATGCGTCGTGCCCCTGTGATGATGGAACGCTTCCAATAGGGAGAATGTGTGTGTGTGTGTGTGTGTGTGTGTGTGTGTGTGTGTGTGTGTGTGTGTGTATTTGCAAAGGCAACACGTTTTAGACAACAATGTGAAACTTGGCAGATGGAAGACATAAAACTCTTCCAATGTTTATCTCAATAAACATCAGGACTAAGGAATGGACGGCATTTGTTTGTGTGTGTGTGTGTGTGTGTATTG